TCCATTTGTTCAAAAGTTCGGTTCAGTTCTAATATTTCATTGTTGACTTTTTGTGTAGTTGATCTGTTTTTGTGACAGTGAGGTACTGAGATCCCCCAATACAATTGTATTAGTGCTTATTTGATTTTTCATGCTTGTTAATATTTGTTTCATATAGTTGGGTGCACTGGTATTTGTCGTATATATATTTATGATTGTTATCTCTTCCTCTTGGATTGTTCCCTATATAAAGATATGGCCTGCTTTGTCTCAGTCAGTCGTGGCTTGACATTCACTTTGTCTACAAATATAATAGCTACCCTTACTTTTTTCTGGGTTCCTGTCACATGGAATATTGTTTTCCATCCCTTGAGTTTGTCTATGAATTTCTTTTTGAATTAAATGTGTTTCTTATATGCAGCATATTATTGGATTTTGCTTCTCAATTCATTCTGCCAGTCTGTGTCTTTTGACCCGTGAATTGAGATCATTATAACATTGATGGTTATAACAAGTATGTGTTGACTTATCATTGTCATGTTATTTTCCTTTTGTTGCTCCCCTTGTTGTTTGCCTTGCCTGGTAGTTTCCTTCTGTTGTGGGTGCATGGAGTTATAGTCCTTGTTATTCTGTTTCTACAATGTCCTTCAAAACTTTTTTTTTTGCTTCAAAACATTTTGGAGTGGTGGTTTGGTGGTCATAAATTTCCTCAGATGTTCTTTGTTAGGGAAGTATTTTATTGCTCCATCAGTTTTGAAGGATAATTTTGCAAGGTACATTAATCTGGGTTGAAGGTTGTTTTCCTTTAGAACTTGAAATACTTCATTCCAAGCTCTCCTTGACTTGAGGTTGTGTGCTAAAAAGTCAGCTGTGATTCTGATGGGCTTTCTTTCAAAGGTGATTTGTTTGTTTTCCCTAACAGCTTTTAAGATTCCATTCTTGTTTTATATTTGTGTAATCTTGGAGCTGGGGATTTAGCTCAGCAGCACAGTGCCTGCCTGGCAAGCGCAAGGTCGTGAGTTCAATTCCTGGTACCAGAAAAATAGCACCCCCCCTCAAAAAAAATTGTGTAATCTTGACTATGATATGCCTGGCTGTAGTTTTTCCTTTTTTTGGTACCAGGAATCAAACTCAGGACCTTGTACTTGCCAAGCAGGCTATTGTACTACTGAGCTATATCTCTGGCCCTGTAGATTTTTTTTTTTACCATAGCTAATTGGAGTTCTACATGCCTCACTTCACTGTATTTTACATTGTTTCCTTACCAAAGTTTTCTGCCATGACATCTGTGAACAGTTTAATATCATTTGTGCTATCACCTGCTTTTTCATTGACTCCAATCTTAAATTCTTCTTTGCCTCATCTAGAAGCTGCTGCATTGATTTCTCATAGTCCCTTGCTATTTTTAAGAAATCTTTCTTTTCATGATCACTAACCACAAGTCTGATTTCTATAGCTGAGATCCTGTCCTCACATTGGCTTATCCTGCTACAGATACTTTCAATGGAATTTTTATTCTCCTGGATATCTGCCTGAATCTGCCTTATGGATTCCATTTATGTCCTATGCTGAGCATTCATGGCTTCCATAATTTTCTTAAGCTCCTCCATTTTTTTTATCTGTACCTGCTCTAGAGTCACTAAGCATGGCTTTCATTATGGACACCATCTCTGCAGTTATCTGAGATATTATTTCTGATTTGATTTTTTTCTAGAGCCTCATTCAATTGCTTTGTTGTTACCACATCAGAGAAGTTAGGTGGGTGGCTTTTGGACTGTCCCACCTCACTGCCCTCTGGGTTTGCTTTTAGTGAACTGGATGTCTGGGGTTGCATCTTGTTTAAGTGTCTCATTTTTTTTTAAATTTCTGGGGTGATGCTTATAAATTGCCTGTGGTCAGGTGCTTTATGGTTAGCATTTAGAACCCTTAGGAAATGACTACTTCTCTGAGGTATATTCCAGGTGTAGCTGGGTTTTGGGTTTTGAGTCTGTTGCAAGATCCTACCTCTTCAATTTGTTGGGGATAAGAAGTTGCTGCCTGCTTGGCTGGTCCTTGGTTCTTTGGCACTGTGCCACAGTATTTTCTATGACCCTTAGGCAATCTCAGTCTTGGAATACCAGGAAGAATAGCTGCTTAGAACAATTATGTCACTTTTGGCTGAAGTGGTACCATCAGCAATAACAACAGCATCAAATACAGCCTCAAAAATGACAAACTGAGATAACCATTAATTTGCCACCTTTAACCATATGAACTAGATTTGTGGTTATATAAGAAAATTGAGACAAACCAGAAAATTATACACAGTATATAATTCCTTAGTATGTCAATTTTTCCCTCAGGGGTTAAAATTTAAAAGAGGTTAGGGAAATAACAGAAGTAGAAGAAGAGGAAGAGATTAGAAGTAAGGCTGGAGGACAAAGGGGGATTATGCTAACTTTGGGAAACTGGTGCAGAAGACTAAAGGGAAACAGAGAAAGAAGAGATTAAAAAGAACAGAACAGAACAAGAACAAGAACCACAAAGAGGCTAGAAACTAGATTCACACTCATATAAAAATATCACACAATGAAGGAGAAAAAAACAAAAACATAAAAACAAAACCACCACCACCACAACAAAAACAAACAAGAGAGAGAAAAAGAAAAGAAGTCCACTTCCAGGTATGTCTCTGCTGTCACTAGTAGACAATTTGTGGAGACAGAGTCCCGATCCATGTTGATTTATCCCAGCAAGCCAGCAGTAGCTTTTTGGAGGGGTAATGGATGATCTCAGAGAGCCTGCACCTTCTGGCAAAGACCACACTCATTCAGCCTGAAGCCATCAGTGCACTTTTGGTAGGCCTGAGCCCAGCTGGGAGCTGCTAGATGGAGCCTGCAACTGCTCTGAGTTCTGAGCTCATTCAGCCACTCTCCAAGATGGCTCCCAGCCAGTTGCTCTCTTGTGCAGGACAACTGAGCCCTCAGCACTCACTGCCAGCTAGTGCAGTCCTTCATGTCCACTGCTCCCCTCCACTGTTGCATCTCTCCATGGAGGCCTCTGGGGTTGCCAGCAGTCCTGTGTGTCTGCAAGTTTGAGTTGCTCCTCTCATGCACTGAGTCTCAAAGCACCACTGGCTACCTCCTCCTTCTTTGAAGTTTTTTGCTTTAATCTCTGAGAGCTTCAATTCATGCTTCAGCTCCTTCCTGGGTCTAGAGGCCCCACTTCCTTCTCAACTTCCTCAAGTTGCTGTATTTTGGCATCTGGATGGCAGCTCTCAGAGCAGATCTTTCACTGCTGCTTACCACCCCACCATCTTGGTGCTCCCCTTTATTTTTAATTTGGACATGAGTTCTCAGTAAGTTGCCTGGGCTGGGCTCAAACTTTCAATCCTCCTGCCTCAGCCTTTCAGAGTGCTGGGATTACCTGGGGCCTAATCTTGAAAGCATGTTAAAAAATAACCACCAAGCTCACCACTCATCTCCATAGTGTTATGAGAACTATGAGATAGAGCAAAGGTGCTTCTGGTCTGTCCTTGTTTTCTGCAAGCTGGAGACTTGCTGAGTGCTGGGCCCCCACAGTCAAGGCTGGAAGCAGACATGGTTGATTATCCCTTCAGCAAGGACTTGGCTTGAGTTCTTACTGCTCAAAGTTCTAGCTTGTTGATGGGATGAGAGCCATGGCCATTCTCTGTATGAATGCCACACTGAATGAACAGTCATCTGACTTGGGAACAAGGTAGAATCTATGATCCCTTAGATAGCCTAGTCAGAACTCAAAAGCTATAGTGTTAAACTCCCTCCAGTACATGTGCTGGATACCTGCAGCAGAAGTTACCCACGCAGTTTAGTCGAAAGTAAAATTCATGGCTGAGCACAGTGGTTGCCAGGGGTCCCAGCTACTCTGGAGGCTCAGGATTGCTTGAGCCCAGGAGTTCAGGCCAGCCTGGGAAACACAGCAAAATCTCATTTGTTTTTTGTTGTTGCTGCTAAGAAAAAAGAAAAATTCACCTGTCTCACCCATCCTTGACTACTTGGGGAGAGAAGACAATAGAAATCTGAGTTTAAAATAAACTCCAGGCCGGGTGTGGTGGTGCACGCCTGTAATCCCAGCACTTGGGAGGCTGAGGCAGGAGGATTGTTGCAAGTTCGAGACCAACCTGGGCTACAAAGTGAGCTTAAGGCCAGCCTGAACTGCATAGCAAGACCCTGTCTCAAAAACAAGACAAAAAAACCCCAAACAAACAAACAAAAAATAAACTCCAGAATTGGTGCACATAAGTTTAAAAATGATGTCTAGGACATGATACATGCCTTCTATTAGTTTATACTCTGGACTCCTGTAGAGGCAGGAGTGGGTCACTATGGGTCAAGTGTGTCTTTAGTCATTAAGTTATACAAGAGGCAGAACAGGAAGCTTAAGGCTGTCTTTGTTGGTCATACTACAGAAACCAGGGGAAGGGAATCGTGTATGCACCTCACTGATACGCGCCATTTCCAGGGCCACCAAATACAAAGTGCAATGCTGTAACTAGGACAGGAGCAAACAGGAACAGGCAGGTGTCTAGGTGGCCTTGGATCTCAGCAATCCTTCTCTTAAGAATTCATTCACATGAAGAACTGCAACGCAGCACTACAAATCCAGTGAGGTAAAAACCCTCCCAGATTAAAATTGTACCATCCCCTAAATCCCCCTGAGAGTCACAGTGTGATATTCCTGAGGTTACTCCCAGTGAGGAGACTACTTAGTTTCACTGATTGGTAAAGCAGGAGTCATCACCCACTTTGATAGGAGAAATCTGAGGTCCCAGGCTAACTGGAAACCACACAGCCTGCATGTATACTAATGGGGATATGTTGGGGTGATATAGATAAATTATGTGCCCAAGAGCACAATAATGAACAGATGCAAACCACAGACCAACACCTGGGACTGGGGCTCTAAACCTTGGACAAAACTCTTCCTGAGCCCTCAGGGATAAATGGTAGAGTTGCACTAAAGATGTACACAGCATGGGTGCTTGATAACACAATCCAACTGGGGACTGGTTAAAGTGCCTTTATTTTCTCCTATAAGATTTTTCTTACAAAAAGAAGAAGTAGAAAAAGATCCCTTCCTTCTAGCATCCCATGTCCAGAGGGGGGTGTAGAATGGGTGGAGCCAGGGCTAATCTCCTAGGAAAAGGTGTGGGAGTAGAAGGCAGTGGCATTGACACTGTAGTCCATGGGGAGGAGGTGGCCGACGTGCTTGGCCCCTAAGATGGCGCCACCCAGGGCAGAGGAGTACCTCAGCTTCATCAGGGTGAAGCCAGAGAAGGAGTTCTGAGCCTGGAGCTCTCTGCCCTGAGTCAGTGCCGTAAGGAAACCTGGAAGGAAGAATGCAAGGGAAGAAATGAGACAAGACAAATGGCCTACAGGGAGAACTGGGAAAAAGGGGAGGGGACAAAGATGTCCGGGCATTTCCGTGAAGGTGCTGGAGGGGCCCACATGCCAAGCTTCCAGCACACAGGGTGTATGGACCAAGAAACAGCTGTGGGTCTGGAGCTAACAGCCTGATAACCTGACTTTCTCTCAGCTCCTGAGCATGCAATGCCCGCAACTTAACTGGAGATCCCTAAGCTATTGCAGCATGTCAAATGGAAACACACAACTGCCTGAGAGAAGGATGCCAGGCTAAGAAGTCATGTTTCTTTTCTTTCGGCCAGGATTATGTTGATAAGGGATATCCCCACAGGTTACCACAGGCTGGGTAGATCTCTGATTCTCAGTTAGACTTGACTTTAAGTTTTAAAAAGGAGTTATTTAATAAATCACTTGGAATTGAAAATCTTTTTAGGAATTTAAGGAGCTGGGGGTATTAAGTGTTAGAAACATGCTTAGCACACACAAGGTGCTTAGTTCAATCAACACACCAAAATAAAGAAGTTGGATGGGGCCTAGTTAAAAGGCTCAATGGCACAGTGAAGACTGAAGGTTACTGTCAGCGGCCAGTGTCCTGTCCTCAGGGCTGGATCCCAGTTCTCCCAGGGGCAGCCAGCTTCCCTAGGTCACCCCCTTCCCAGTCCCATCCTCCGCCCTTGCCCTCCCCGCTTTCTGACCCTAGACCCACCTTCCTTCAGCAGATCCCAGCTCTTCCATACAGAGCCCACACACAGGATGGGAAGGCCCATCTCTCCTCGGAACAAGACCTGGGAAGAGGGCTGAAAATGTAGGCTGGGGGCCAACCAAGCCTCCATGGCTGCAGGGATGGTTTCCTCAGACCACCCACCCATCCCAGATACTCTCCCTTCGCCAAGAAACAGAAGGTGGACTCATGACAAAAAGAAAAGAGGTAAGCAGTAACAACAGAGAGGACAGAGAGACTAGAGAGAACTGGACAGAATGGGGCAGCCCTGTCCCTGAAGTTGAAGGACCATGTCTGGCCCAGCACCTGCCCACCTTCACATTCCACCTCTACTCACCGGGTCAACCTCAGGCAGCACTGCCACGACATGCCGGCCCAGCACCTCACCAGCCTTCCTGAAGATGTACTGGGAAAGGGGGTCTCCCTGCTGAGCACCTGAGGGAGAGAAGACGGAGGAATTCACCTCTGGTGAGTACCCGAGGACCTGCCTGTCCTAGGTTATTCTTTCTCCCTGTTGCAAGGCAGCAACCATAGAACCACCTGCAGCTTGTGAGGTCCAGGTGAGGACGGATGTCCATTGTCATCTCTCCATCATCCCCCTTGGAGAACGCCAATCAGAAGTGGCTCATCAGGCACAGGGAGCTGCAGTGACCCAAGAGCACCCTAACACCAGGTTACTATGTTAACACAGAGGTACTAGGAGTCTGTTCCTTTTAGTCTCTCAGTTCTGGGGACCCAGGACCCCAGCTATGAAGTTAGTCAATAAATTCTGCCCATACCCCACCCTCTGCCAGTGTGCTGTTGGCCAGTGCCTCCCAGGCTCTGCTTTGAAGGGCCTCGGTCCAGCAGGTTCTAAGAGCCCCAGGATGCCCTAAGGTGAGGGAATCCTGATTAAGGGAGTGTGGGCCTTACAGCAGAAAAGCAATGTGTAGACTCAAGCCCTGCGCTTAGCTTCTGACACCCAACAAAATATGCCCAGGCGCGCCTTCATTCCCTAGTTCTCTGGGTATAATTATAGTTAAGAAAATGTATAGATTTAATACATCTGCTTCCTAAATTTCTCAAAAACAGGCACACAGCTTACACAAGCCATGATAGTCGTGCAGGAGAGAGGCCCAGGTAACAGGAAACAGCTGCCAATACAATGCCCCTGCCCTTCTGCTCAGCCCCAAGGCCCACCACCACCAGGGTCACTGAATGAGAGGGAAACCGGCACCCAGCCCCACCGAAACCCCACTCTGCCCCCTCACTACTGATGTCTTTGGAGAATGAAGCCCAAAGAAACCCTGCCCCACCTTTAGTACCTTCTGCAATTTTCCGGCAGAACTCAGCAAACCTGCTTTTATCAAAGTCCCTGTACAGGTGGGTGAGGATTCCTAGCCGATCCGGCACCTGAGAGGCAGAGAAGGAACGTAAGCAGTAATTAGGAGCGAAGTAAATCCCTACTGTGCCCTCCAGCTTGGCCTTCCTAATGTCTCTACTATGTACAAAGTTTGAATAGTTCTGGAGGTTTTTTTTTTTTAAGCTCTAGAAATTATAAAGATTTGAGATTTTTCTCATTTGGGAAGTTTTGTTTTCCCCAACATGAACTTTGCTGCTAGTTACAGATTAGCTTAAAGGCAGCAGAGGGTACAGATTTGTGTTCACCACAGGGCGTTCTATGCTTTCTTGAAGTACTCTTGGTAAGAGTTCTCTGATCAAAGGGATCTATGAAATAATGCACACTACAAATCTCCATTAGAGAACCACCATACACATTTGCGAATCAGAGGTTCTGAGGGGAACTGAAACCAAGGAATTAATTCATTTCTCCCACACTTATTCGACCACATAAGGTCCTTCTTCCACCAACACACCTATCCATCCTGAACACCTTCAAATTCTGAAGGAAGCAGTGATTCCCCAGAACACATCTTAGTAAAGGGAGGGGCAGCTACAGTGAATGTATCGAGCTCTACATATTATCTCTTTAACCTTGGTAACCATATATATTTTTTTTTTCTTTTTTTTTTTCAGCGCTTGTGATCAAAGCCAGGGCCTCATGCATACAACACAAGTACTCCATCACTGAGATATGCTTTCAGCCCTATCTATCTATCTATCTATCTATCTATTTATCTATCTATTGCTTCTTGGCCTTTTGGCTAAGATCAAGTCAGCCTATCTGTGTCTGTCTGCCTATCTATCTATCTATCTATCGATCTACAAAGTCTTGCTAGATGGCCCAAGCTGGCCTCAAACTTGTGATCTTCCTGCCTTAGCCTGCAGATTAGCTGAAATGACAGGTATGCACCACTGTGCCCAGCTGGTAAGAACTGTATAAGAATGACTGTAGGCTGTGTGTGGTGGTGCACACCTGTAATCCCAGCACTTGGGAGGCTGAGGCAGGAGGATTGCCATGAGTTTGAGGCCAGCTTCAGCTATGTAGTGAGACCCTGTCTCAAAAGAATAAATGACTGTAGGATATAAGAGAACAGCAGACATGCCAGTGGCTGGGTCAGGGTAGTTTATTTGAACTTCCTACAGCAACTGCTTCAGAAGTGTTTTCTCCTCCAATCTTGGGCCCTTAGATTCCTCACCCTCACAAAGGCCAGGATTCCTCTTAATCACCAGTCTCTCAGCCCTGAGAAGACAGGCCACCCTTTCAGCATCACTAGGCTCCTTCCTTGGTCCTGGCCCCAGCTTAATAAAGTAGCAGGACAAAAAGACTGGTCTTCATGCAGACACATAGTTATCAAATAAACTTATCCTCCTCCCCTTCTTCTCCCTTCCACCTCTCCCACCTTTCACTGTGGCTCTGCTAAAGGGAGCTCTTTCTCCTAACTCACCTCCAATGAGCACAGAGAAGAAGTCGATCCCCAATGCCCTGGGTAGGAGGCTGTACCTCCCCAAGATCCCTCCCTGCCTACTCCTCACTGGGCTCTCCTGACCCACTTAGGCCAGAAAGCAGCTCAGCACTTGTTCAACTCCACCTGCTATCTCTGCATCTGGACCGCACCCCACACTTTCCATCCTAGCCAAGAATGTCCACACTTCTTATCTCCCATCAGGGTTTAGCTGACCAAAAAAAGTGAAGTCCAGCTAGCCACCTGTCCCCAAACCAGTCCTTTCAATGACACCATTCTGCGATGCACTGCCACATCATTCTGAATCCTGTCCTTACCTACAGTTTGTCCCCGCTGTAGCTCTGACCCACCTTTGGCCCACACAGTCCCTCTCCTGTAGCTACTCCAGCTTAGGGTCCCCACTGTCCCGTCCTAGGTGTGCATGTTCACTGAGCGGGAAGGGGAGTACCTGGAAATAGTTGAACATGGCCTGTTTGACGTAGCCAATATCATGAGGAGCTGTCTCTAGATTGTCAATGGAATCAAACACTATTTTCACTGCTTGATGTGCGATCCAGTAGGCTGTAGGAAGCAGAGAGGGTGAAGAGAATCTCTCCAGGCTCACCAGAAAGGAAACTCAGAGCTAGACAGGGTTAGTGATCTACATGGGTTTTATAGCAAATTGAGGTTCCTGATTCCCAGCAGGGAATGGGGAGGGCAAGGGACCTATAACCAAATTGCATCTGACTGACCCGGAAAAGGGAGGGCTAGGAGGGGCAAGACAGAATAGGGGAGCCTGTGTCGTATTAGCTCCTACCCAAAAACAAGGCTGGTCAATTGTCACAGGCTGTCATGAGCTGGCCCCCAAGGGACCCTATGAAAATGTACATGTCATCCATAAAAGGTGAAGTGGGAGCAGTTTTCACACTCCTTTCCCACCACGGGACAGGTATGGCACCACCTGGCATCTACGGCCTTACCCTTCAGTTTCTACTCTTCCCTAAGTCTCCAAAAGTCCACACAGGTGGGTCACGGCCACTGTGCCAAGGTATGAATCTAATCCTGGGTGCAATTCACTGCTGAAGAACAAGGTCAGCAGTCAGTCTAGCACTGGCATCTCTATGATCTGCCAGCCATTGTTTGGTACTGGTCAGGTGGAGGAAGTGCCCTCAGGGAGCTCCAAGGAAACAGCAGGCCAAGAGCAGGGGACAGGAAGCCGGGAATGTGCAGGAAGGGAAAGGTCCAGGCCCCTGAGCCAGGCCTGTGTGAGCTCACCTGAGCCTTCGTCTCCCATCATGTGGCCCCAGCCACCGCAGCCACTCTCAGAGCCGTCAGGGTTGATGAGTCTGCAGTTAGAGCCAGTCCCAGAGATGAGCACGATCCCACCTGGGGAAAGGGCAGGGGAGGCTCAGTGTGGGCATGGCAACAGAGCAACAGCTTCCGATGTCACCAAGACAGGACAGAAACCTGCCCCGCTCCCAGGCAAAGGGATCACAACCCAGCCTTACAGAGTAGAAAACTGAGCCCAACTAATTTCCTGCCTGTAGGGGAAAAAACTGGGGCTCAGAGAAACGCTAATCATGAGCCTACACCTCCTTGAGAGAACACGGCTCCTTGCCTAACCAGTCTTTAGGTGACTCTAGCTCATTTCCTGGGTGCTTACTATGTCCTTGACCCTGTCCTTATAGTGACAATACCCAAAATACCTTATGAATGGAAGTTTACAGATGAGGAAACCAAAACCCAGTTCTATCACTTCTCCGAGATGGTAGAGCTGGCAAACTAGGAGCTGGGATTCAAACACCGATCCCTTGATGCCAGAAACCTTTCCACTAGCACAGAGCTCCCCTACTTCCTCCTCAGTACTCATGGCTTCCCCCAGCCTGCTGCTCACCACACTGCCCCTGGGGCTCCTTCCTCTGCAGTGGAGTCTTTTCCTTTGACTCCACTCTCCACTTCCCACCAATGGGCCTTTCTTGCCCTCCCTCTTCCTGTCCACCTGATCCTTGCTCTGGCACGGACTTACACTCCTGAAAAGAGAGTCAGGGGAATACAGATAGAGGCTGTCTAGTTTTGCTGGCTACCATCTAAAGGACTTTTCTAAGAAAACCAGTTCTCAACCTCACCCCTCCCTCCACCTCCTCACCATCCGGCGTAGCTGTGGCGATGGAGCCGGCGGCATCGGTGGTGATTAAGTAGTTTTCACTCAGGTAGGGAAATCGGTCCCTCAGCATCTCCACCAGGATCCTCACTGCATCCTCCTGCTCCCCACCGCTCAGGGAAAGGCCCTAGGCCACGTGGGAGGTGAGCGAGCAAGCAGAGCCCCAGACCCTGCTCCTTTCTCAAGCCCCTCCCCTCCTGCACCTGTTCTTTACATCTGGCTATACCCTGCTCCACCAGCGTCAGCCCCTCCACCCCGTACAATGACCCCTCAGAAGGCTATGGCTGCAAGAACAGTCTGGGATTAGGGATGCACAGCAGAAATGGGATTCAACAATGTCATGTTTTGAGCTTGGAAAATAGCAGTGCTCTCAGAAAAATCAGGCAGAGCAGCAGGTGATGGGAGATGCTACAGAGATACGCTTGGTTTAAAATGCATGGGCTTTGGCTATACCTGAAGAACACCTTACTTGTACGTCCAGGGAGTAGTGGGAGCTACGGTGCTTGGGAGGAAGATTTGAGCTGGGACCAAGAACAGCTCACAGTTACTGAGTGCTTACGGTCAGGTCCCGTGCTAACCATTTTGGGATGCATCAGGTCATTTTACTTGGACAGCAACTCGGAGGTAGCTTCTGCCATCCACATTTTCAGAATGAGGACACTGAGGCTTAGAGAAGGTAAATAACCTGCTTAAGGGTCATGCAGTAGCAGAGATGGGATTTAAACCAAGGTCTCATTGACTCTCCAGAGCTCATACTCTTCCAATGTACTTGTAGCTTATTGGCAACTAAAGCCTTGTCAATAGGTAAGATTATAAAAATTCTGACATGAGGGACTAGAAGGAAGCCTTTTCCTCTATGTCATCAAGTCCAAACTTGCCGCCTGTCTCAGTGTTGCTGGTAGCTTAATTCCCTGATTCCACCTCAGACTCACCAAGCTTCGTAGAGGTATCAGAAGATCCACCCCTGCTTTCTCTTTGGCCCTGTTCACCATCTCGTTGATCCTCTCCACACATTTGTCTGTTCCGATCAGCTGGCCCCAGTCAAGGGAAGGAGAAGTTACAAAGGCTTGCAGGACCTATGTTGCCCCTATCTGCTGCTCTATGAGCCCCAGCCACCACCTTAATGGGAGTTACAAAGAAGAAAATCAGAAACCAGCCCTCTGGTCTCCTCAGTATGACTTTTACCCAGTGGTTTGTGCTCAGTCCATCTGCTTCTGCCAGGATCTGCCCATCTTCCGAGAGCAAAAGTACCTTGGACTGTGTGCCTCCCCTGCAGAACACAAGAGGGCACTCAGTCCTCCTCAGAAAAACTTGTAGAGACGAGCTAAGCTTGTGCAGTCCTTGTTGCACACAGAGCTAAAAGTGATGGAGATAATTCCAGCAAACACAGTCACCACTCCCAGAGATACCGCTGCGATTTAAAGTCTGCTATGCTCTTAAAACTGAAACAGTTCTTGCTCATCTTCCCTTGTGAATATCATACTTATTCTGCAAGACCCATTTATACATCACCTGGACCTTGAAAGCTTCTCTGATGTGTGGCCTACCCCACACATTGAAGCTCCATTAGGTAAGGCTTCCCAGTGCCCCTTTGGCTATTACAGACTCCTAACAAGAGTGTGTTCATCTTGTTCTGTGTCTATCTTCTCCTGGATTATGAGCTCCAGCATGCCGAGATCAGGGTCATGTATCTAGCCTCCTAACTAGCACAGACCTTGGCACAAACAACACTTGGCAAGACGGCTAAAGAGAATAGTAAATCTCTCTGCTTCTCTAACAACAGTTAAGGCTGCCTTTCAAGTTCCAGCACCAGTTGCCACAGTCTTCAAGACACCCTTGTAAGAAATGACCAGTGGCATGGAGAATTTATACTTACTCAAGCAACTAAACCCTCCAATGCTGACTACTGGGGGAAATGATAGCTTACTGGGATATCTGTGGTGGTGGAATATAAGTTTCCTAAGACTTTCTGGAATGTCTCAGGACACTGGAGACCTGCTGTTCAATTCAAAGATGACATGAAATTTCAAAAGGTAAGTTAAGGCATGGGTGGCAGAGTCAACATCCAAAGCAATCTCTTAACGAACAGGAAAAAATGGATTACATCTCACAGGTTATTATAACAGGGATGAATGCAAACTCCTACACTGTACTTAGTTTTAAAAAAATTGCTACAGATACAGGATGGAGCTCAACCTTAACAACTCATGTGGGGGCTGGGGATTTAGCTCAGCGGCAAAGTGCCTGCCTGGCAAGCACAAGGTCGTGAGTGCGGTTCCCGGTACCGGAGAAAAACCAAAACCAAAAAAAAAAAAAACAAAAACAACTCATGTGAAAAGAACTTGGGGTCTGTAAGTCAACAGTGGGATGGGGCTGCCAGTGAAGTGAATCCAATCTCAGATTCAAAGGCTGAGACAACAGTCACTTTCTATTGTGCCCTGATTTGACTCAGATTCACAGAATGTTTTCCCTGGCAGGGGACTTGAGCAGTCACTCGATCATTCTGTTCATCCCTGTCCTCACTTGAAACACAGGGTAACTGAAGACCAAAGTGGACAAATGTTTTACCCAAAGTCACACCCAGAGTCAGAGCTATTACCAAAAGTCCAACAGACAAGCTCTGAGCAGGAAAAATGCAAGAATCTTCGCGGGCTCAATGCAGCCCTAGAAGCCTACTGCGCTAACGGGAAAGGACGTCATCTCCGGCCATCAGGAGAAGCTGATACTGTGCTGCACCAGCTTCAGCTTCCAGATAAGATCTTCATCCCAGCTCCACCCCTCTTTCCATTCTCCGCTTCCTGCCCAGAAACTCCATGCCTGACATCTGTTCCACAAAACTCCTAGGCTAGGAATGAGGAAAAGGAGACAGCAAAGTAAGGAGTTTGTGGGAGAAAGGGGCGTGGTCCTGCAGAGAAATAGAAAGGACTCCCCGGGGCGTGACCTTGTCATTCACGGAGTTTTTTTTTTTTTTTTCCTTTTTTTTGGTACCGGGAATCGAACTCAGGACATTGCGCTTGCCAGGAAGGCTTATCCCACAGAGCTATCCCCGGCCCTTTTCACAGAGTTTCTGCAGGACACTCAGCCGCTTGAGCAGGGGCGCCGGTACGAATGCACACACCCCTCCTCCGCAGGGTTCTGCAATCCAGAAGCCCAAAGTGGTGGGATCCTGAAGTGAGAGGCCATCTGTTAACCCGCATGATCACCTTTCGTCCTGCCCTTCACCTGAGATGGCCAAGGCCGCCCCCCTCGGGCTCCCGCCGTAGGGCTGCACTCACCCCTCCACACCTCCGTAGAGCACGGCCATGCTGCCGCCGCCGACGCCACAGGTCCCACGGTTTGCTCTCCTACCCACTGCGCACAGCCGCTCTCCCTCCAGCCGGCTCAGCACCGCCCCTAGTGACGTCACGGCGGACGAGGCGGCCAGGCTCCCAGCGCGCGTGCGCGGGGCGTGGCTTTCCGTTCCACCCTTTCTCCGTGGCTGACCCCGGCGGGAGGACTCCTGACGGTGACCCGGCGATGTTGTTTAGCAGCTCCGTTCGGGCTGGACTCAGTATCCCGGGACGTAGCCCAGATTCCAAGTGGAGCTGCCACAAGGGGATATCCTATACGCGAAGACCCTATCGGTCCCTGGGAACCCGGAAGTTGCTGGCAGCCCTGCCTGGCCCTTTGGTCACGTCGACTGCGACGTAGTGGGTGACGCACGCGGGGCGGCTCTGGCGGAGGTGAAGTCGGAGGGCCGCGCGCGCAAAGCCGGCGTCTCAAGAGACGTTTCGGTGAAGTTCAGCTCCCTGCCGCGGTGTGTGCGCGAACATCTGTGCCGGTTTTTACGCGGCGCTCGCGTGAGCGCACGGAAGCAGGAGGAGCAGAAAGCGGCTGGAAAAGCAGAGAAGCCGCCTCCATGCTGCCCCGGCATCCCCGCGAAGGGAGCGTTCAGCGCTTACCCAGTTTAGTTCTTTGCGTGGACTGAGTGAGAGTAGCAGGCAAACGAGCAGATACGGTTTCACTGGCCATTTCATTGCCCTCCAACCACCACCCCGCACCTCTTCCTTACATGACACTGGGAAAAGAAGTGGGAGTCGGCGGGAGGAAAATGCTGGCCAGGTCTGAGAGTCAACCTGGGGCTCCCTGGGCTCCTCCGGGCGCAGAATTCTGAGCCAGACAGTGTCCTTGGCAGCTCTTCGCGATCAACCTGGGGACGGATCCTCTGGAGCTGGCCTGTTTCCTGCCCAACTGCCGCCCTTGCTGAGAGATTTTTAGTGAAGATCCTCTTTCCCTAACAGCCAGCTGGGTCCGGTTATGTTTTGACTTGAACATTTTGTCATATATAGTATATACCTTTTTTTAGACTGGAAGAAAGGCGTCGTTACCTCACTTCCTACCTAACTGGGACACTGAAGCAAGAGCAAAGAGTAAATCAGAACCTCATAGAGAATATCAGAGAAGTAGAATTTTTTTATGCCTGCCTGCGACATTTTTCATTGTAGCATATCAGAGACCTAGGGTTCTTAATCCGGCACATTCGTACTTTTAGAGTAACAGCTCACAGACTCTGGTAAGAAGTCAAACTGAGCAGGAATTTGTGTGGAGAAGTGAAACTGTTGGGTCAGTTTTGAAAGAACAGTTCTTTTTCTGCAGTAGTACAGTGAGCCTTGGAACTATATGTGTGGTAGGTAGTATTCAAGTGTGCCTTTGAATTGCTTGTTTAGAAAAGAAACCAAAAAGGGAAAGTGCCCAGGTTTGAAGAGGATTCAGTTCATCATTTACTGTCTGGATGCGGTTGGGTGAATTACTCATAATTGCTGCAGTTTCTCATCTACAGAATGGAGACTTCCCACTTACGTGGCTAACATAAGATTTAAATACCAAAAGACTTGGGATCCCTGCACAGATTTTTTTGATGTTTAATGAATGTATTCTCTTTTTTGTTGTTTTTTTGGTCTTTTTGAGACAGGGCTCACTTTGTAGCCCAGGCTGGTCGCGAACTCACAACGACCCTCAGCCTCCCGAGTGCTGGGATTACAGATGTGCGCTGCCATGCCTGGCTTAATAAATATATTCTGTGATCCAGTAGTCATAGGAATTGCTTTGCTCCTGTGTGTGTATGGCCAAGAGAAATGAGTTCCTATGAATACTCATAATAGCACTGTTTGTAACCTCTAAATGGAAAACCTTCAAGATATTTATCAGCATTGAATGAAAGAATAAACTGTATAGCTAGTCAGAATAGTACACAGCAATGAAAAGTAACAATCTACATTTATTTGTTTTGTGACACTGAGGACTGAGCCCAGGGCCTTCAAACTGAACTACATCCTCAGCACTTTTTTTGACATAGGATCTTTCTAAATCACTAAGTTTCTCAGGCTGGGCTCAAACTCAAAATCTTCCTGCCTCAGCCTCCCAGTGTGCTGAGATTAAGGTGTGGGCAACCACACCTAGCTATAATCAACTGCAATACTCAACAACATTGGTGACTTTCATAGACAAAAGCCAATGTAAAATATTTCCATTTATTTGATGTTCAAAAACAGGCAAAAGTAATCTGTGGCAATAGAAGGCAGAATGAGATGGGCAGGGATATTGCTAGGAAAAAGGTAATGCAGTATGTGGTGCTACACACCTGTAATCCCTGTACTTGGGAGGCTGAGGCAGGAAGATCACCTTGAGTTCCAGGCCAACCTTGTCTATGTAGTGAGTTCAAGGCCAGCCTGGATTACAGATCAAGACCTTCTCTTTTAAAAAAAAAAAAAAAAAAAAAAAAGACCTTGTCTTTAAAAAAAAAGGAAAAAGAAAGGTATGAATAGAGGCTTCAGGGATTCTGGTAATAGTCTATACAGTGATATGTGTCACAGTTATACTTTGCTATTGGTCACATTACTATAGTTATACTACTTCAATACTTGTATTTTTAGAAATGAAAATTCATGAACAGTAGTCATTTTAGAAGGACTACTGAATGGCAAAACACTACTTTGTGGTTTTGGAATAGTTGAAGGTATCTTCAGAAATTGAACTAATGAATGGTTTTGTTTTGTTTTTTTTAGATCAGAATATATTTATTGAGGGAAAGAAAAGAAAGCTTCTGTCCAAGAGAGGGACAGAAGGGGGGCCCGAGTGGGTTACCCCTGGTTTGTTTTTTGTTGGAAGACAGTGTAATAGAATTACTTGGTTCAGAATGATACATTTCTTTGAACAAAGTCGTTGAAGGAAGGAAAAATGCTAAATATGTTATCTCTAAAAACAGTGCCAACAGAAAACTATTGGTCTATAAAGACAAAGTCACATATTGAAACCTAACTCTCTAAAAGTGAGCACCATAAATTCACTTAATGACCAGAGTCTGTATCCCTCCTCTACTTTCAAACTGTCTCTGGGAAATCAGCTGGTTGCTTGGTTAGCATGTTGTTTCCCAAATTAAATACTGTCGACTTGCAAGAAAAGAAGTATCTTCCTCTATGGGATAGGAACTGCATGAAGTGCTTTTTTTTTTACTCTTGTAGCCTCAGAGCTGCACAGATCTTTACTAATTTTTACTTATACTACTAATTAGTAGAGTAAGTCCCTGACTTAACAGACATTCAAGTGCAAACCTTCACAGGTTTACTGTACTCTGTGGGACTCATTGTTGGCTTAGGAATGAATCCAGCTTACAAACAATCCTCCTGGAATGGAACTCATTCTTAAGTTGGGGGCTTACTGTGTATGCTTTCCTACACAGTATCCGTATGTGACTATTGAGCATTTGAACTGTTGATAGTTAAAAATGAGATGTACTGTCAGTTTAAAATATACAAAACATTCTGTAGACTTAGTATTAAAAATGTAAAATGTTAATAATTTCACATAAATTGCATATTCAAATAACATTTTGTATAGAATGGATTAAATTTATATATTATTCAAATTAGTTTTGCCAGCTGGGCATGGTGGTACACACCTGTAATCACAGCACTCAGGAGACAGAGGCAGGAGGTTTGCCACAGGTTTGAGGCCAGCCTGGGATACATAGTGAGACCCTATCTCAAAACAAAAAAATTAGTTTTGCCAGTCTCTCATTATTTTTTCTGTTATTATATGTTTGCAGTTCATGCAGTTTACAGTCATCTTGGAGAGTGCTTACATGTACATACCACAGCATTTTAAAAAATCTCCTCCCTCCCTCCGTCCTCCAATTTCCCATCCCAGTTTTCATTCTTGTTGGTATTGTGGATTTTAGCTCAAGTTATGGTATAATTTGCTTTGATTGAGGTTATTAGGTTCCTGTATGTGGCATGTCTTCATTCAACTTACTTCCCCTTCCCCTCCTCCTCAATCCTCTTTTTTTTTTTTTTTTTTTTTTTTGTTGTTGTTGAGTTTTTTGGTTTTTTTTTGTTTTTTTTTTTTGAGACAGGGTCTCGCAATGTAGTTTAGGCTGGCCAGGACTCACAATGTACCCCAGGCTGGCCTCAGACTCTCAAACTCACAATGATCCTCCTGCCTCAGCCTGCTGCGTGCTGAGATTATAGGCATGTACCACCATGCCCTGCTGACCTTTCTTTTTATTTTTCACAGTACAGATACTAGAAAGTTTAAAGTTACGTTTGAGGCTCATACTATGTTTTTGTTGTACAGTGCTATTCTATGTCTTGTCACCTGACCATTTGAACCAGAATATTTCAAATAGCACTTGTTTATTACATAAATATTGGCCATATGATTGATTTAAAGAAAGCCTTAAATCAAAATTTAATTATATATAAATTTTTGTTGCATGTTATAATTTTTAAAGGTCTTTCTGTAATTTTATCACTCTAAAATTTTATGAGATGACAGAGATTTTTCTTCCAGTGTTAGGGATTTAACCCACGGCCTCGTGCATGCTAGGCAAGCACTGTACCACTGAACTACATCCCCAGACCATTGAGAGATATTTCTAACAACATATTATGGGTGAGGAAACTGCAACTATAGAATCAAAGTAATTAGCCTAGGCTCACACAACTAACAGTGGCTGCTTATCACAAGTGTGGGTGGTTACTGTGATAGGTTGCAAAGATGTTGCAATACAGAAAGTTCATTAACCTCTAAATAGCTTTGTAAAAGTTTAATACCTCTTTACACTGAGCTTCCAGCATCCCAGCAGCTGCTCCTGTGACATGCACGAGGCTGGCAGTGTTCTCTAAGATCTGCAAGCTGTATGGTCTCGTCTCCTGTCTTCACTTTGTCTCTGTGGCCCTAGGGAGGCCATAGTTGCAGGGGAGGCAAGATAAGGGCTGTAACAGGACAGTGGAAAAATATCTTCCATACCAAATCCACTTATGATTTGGGGGCATAAGAATTTTGACTCCAGGTTCCACAGTAGATTGTATTGACTTAGTTCATGAAACAGCTACATCTATTCTGACTCATCACTGTCTTTCCAGAGCCAGCTCGGTACCAGTCATGTGAGAAGAACTCTGCAAATCATTTTGAGTGTTCTCAGAAGCTATGAAGCGCTGTATCACAAATGTGAGGAGAGCAAGTGCTACCCTGGGAACTAAAGCAGGGAGAGAGCAAATTCCATAGCAGAGGTAATTGCAGAGCAGACTAGAGAAACGCTTGGGAAAAAGGAGAAGTAAAACTGAACTGAGGAAAGAGGAATGGGACATGTGGTCAGAGGGGACATGTGGTTGGATCTTAGGCCTAGAAGTTGTCAGTACATGAGTGGCCTCAGTGCTGTACCTTAGAATAATTAATATGTCAGGTTCCTGAGAGTGGGGCAGATGGGAGGGGAGAGCTTGGAGCACGGAGACGCTTAGAAGAGCCGGCAGTTATCCCGGCAAGACATGGGCAAGGAGGTGAGAAAGGGATGTGGCAAAACAGGACCCCAGGGAGGGACCCAAGTAGGGCAAGCTGACATCTTCTGCCCACGTGGGTGAGGGAGGGGAGCGCCGTCAAAGTTTACACTCCCGCCATGAGACACGGGTGGTGGGGTGCTAGCGCTGGTAGCTGCAAGCCAGAAGGAGGGAACACATGGAGCCCTGAGTGCAAAGCACGTGGAGCTAACTGGCATAAACATCCTGCTCTTCAAGTCTCACTGCCATGGTAAGGAAGCAAGGGAGAAGAGGTGCCTTTTTTGCTTTGATCTGATGTTGCCCTGAAGAGTGTGGGGCTTTGGCCAGGGCAACCACCTGAGCAAATCAGGTTGGGTTGTTCCCTCTTCTTTCCTAAGGGTGTGGGTGTCTACGTGTGAGTTTATATGTGTATTGGCCTATGTTGATCTACATGGAAGTGTGCATGTATTTATTTAATTATTCCAATTTGCTGGGCATGGTGGCACACACCTGTAATCACAGAACTCAGGAGGCTGAGGCAGGAGGATCATTGAGCTCAAGGCTAGCCTGAACTACATAGGGAGACGCCGTCTCAAAAGGACAAAAAAAAAAAAAAAAAAAGTAGTCATCACAGTCAAAAGAAATTTTCAATGCACTTTTCTTATACTTTGGATTTCTTTATACTTGTTTTGCACTTAATGCTGGTTTTGAAATACAAAGGCCAGGGGGCTGGGGATTTAGCTCAGCGGCACAGTGCCTGCCTGGCAAGCGCGAGGTTGTGAGTTCAATTCCTGGTACCGGAAAAAAAAACCAAAAAAAAAAAAAAGAAATACAAAGGCTGGGTGTGGTGGCGCACACCTGTAATCCTAGCACTCAAGAGGCTGAGGCAGGAGGATCATTGCAAGTTCGAGACCAGCCTGGGCTACAAAGTGAGCTCAAGACCAGCCTGAACTGCATAGCGAGACCCTGTCTCAAAAAGACAAAAAAAAAATTCCAATTTGTCTTTGTGGTTCCAAGTGACTAAATGTGTCTACAGAGGCAGATATTTGCAGTGTCTTTATATTTTTCTGTATTAACATATCTTGAATTAGAATTAGCATTTTAATCCTTGAAGGAACCTAAGCAATCCCACACATGGGGGCACCTCTGGGCAGGTGCATAAATGTGACTTACGCTGGAGTGCCAGTGTTGCACTGGAGCTGGCTCCCACCAGTCCACAGACACTCAATTTTGTGCCCATGTCTCTGGCTTCTTTTCAGAGACATCACGTTGTACCTTGAAGTCACCATTGTGGGAGGAGCTATACACAGAGATCAGTAACTGCTACAGAGCAGGTTTTTTTCCATGGGTACTTTCAGGAAATCTGGCCATTAAATATTCACCGGCACACCACTGGGTCCAGGGTTTTATACATGCAGAGATGTCAGTGGCCTTGTCTGTGTATAAATACAAGAATGAAAGTGTGTACCTGGGCACTGGGTCCAGTTTTTATAAGAGTATCAAAATGTAACAGTTTTCTTACAGCTAAACAATTTCTGTCTCAGTCCTCCATGTCCTTAATCTAACCACTTACAGGTCAACTCAGCCATTTCAATCGCAACTTAGATCCAATACCCATCCGCCCCTTGGCTCCGTGGGTGCCACAGGAAGCTCAGAGTTAAACAGCACTGCGGCAGCGGTGAGGAGAGGCTCCTGCTGGCATCTGCTGATGGGTGCACCTTTCCCATCGGGGCCTTTGGTTATGGACATCCAGTCTCCTGGCCGAGATTTCACAGGCCGCATGAGCCTGGTCGTTCAGTCTGCACTGCTGTCTTTGGAACCTGTCCCCTTGTCAGGTGTCAAAGGGTGTTTATATCCCCCCCGCCTCCTGTGCGCCTTGGCTCTGCCTCCAGTCTGCCTCTGGAATCAGAGTGTGTGTGTGTGTGTGTGTGTGTGTGTGAGAGAGAGAGAGAGAGAGAGAGAGCAAGACAGAGACGGAGACAAAGACAGGGAGGGAGGGATATCTGGCTATTAAATATGCTATACTTATTTATCTCTGATTTTCATTTTTAAGTTGAAATAGAGTCTACATATCACCCTTTTGGTGTATAATTGAGATATCTTTAGGGTATTTACATGATTTTGCAACCATCACCACTGATTCCATGATATTTTCATCATCCCCAAAGAAACCCATTTACGCAGCTTCTCCTGCTCCTGAGCCAACTACAGCTCTGCTGTATGACTCCATGGTTTCATCAGTTCTTTGTCATGTAAGGGGACCATTTAGACATGGTCCTTCACACTGGCTTTCTTCTTTAACATGATTATTCAAGACTCAACCATGTCATAGCATGTACCAGTAGTTTATTCCTTTTCATTGTCAAAACATATGTTGTCACACAGCTGTACTAATTATCTAGTCATCTGTTCAATTATTTATACTTTAGGAGCAAAACTGCTGGTCATATGGTGATTCTTACCATAACACTTTTGAGAAACCGCCAGACCATTTTCCAAAGTGACCACAACAGTTGCTTTCAGAGGTTAGGGGCTTTGTGGATGGCTGCTCTCCTGGAGTTTAGACCCGGCTCTCTCTGACCTTTTCCACTGCACCAAACTGCCGCAACCCCCTGTGAATTATGGGCATTTATAACATGATGAGTTAGGACACTGGTGCTCAGATAATCATAGAATCCCCAATTCCATCATTGGACCCTCAGCCAATTATTACCTCTTCCAATACTGCGATACAAAAAGAAACTCGAGGGTGAGTGCATATGGAGAAAGGTTTCAGGTGGGACCAGTATAATTTCTATGCGATGTAAAGCCAGTGAGATGAGCTTCACAGAATTCCACTCCCATGTCTGACCCATTCCTTTATCAGGAGTTATCTCTCCCCCTCCTAACTGAAGCCCTGGATATGGAAAACAGCTGTGAACACTGCGTGTCTCGGGAGAGAGGGGCAAAGGTCTTGGTGTGGTGGGGGTGGGTCCTCTGACCTCTTCTGGAAGAGCTCCCGGGATGGAGGAGTGGGCAAAGGAGAAAGAGGGAGCCCTGTGTCTCTCGAGCTCCTGTCTTGCCCAGGGTCCTCCTTTTGTACAACTATATTTCCTTTAAAAACAAATAATTCAGCCGGGCATGGTGACGCACACCTGTAATCCCAGCACTCGGGAGGCTGAAGCAGAAGGATCATTGTGAGTTCGACACCAGCCTGGGCTACAAAGTGAGCTCAAGACCAGCCTGAACTGCGGAGTAGTGAGACCCCGTCTGAAAAAGACGAAAACAAACAAACAAAAAAACCAAATAATTTATTGAGACAATTACAGATTCACAAGCAGTGGTGACAAATTCTGTGGAGATATCTGCGGATACTGACATAAATATAATCCATTAGTCCTTCAGATTTCTCCAGCTTTACCGGTACTCATTTGTGTAAGTGCACATATGTAATTCTGCATAGTGTTACCACATGTGAAGGCTCGTATTTCCACCGCACAGTCAAGACAGACAGCAGTGCCGTCTGTACCAGGATCCAGCCACTGTTCTTTATACTCACACTCCTTCCACCCCGCCCCTTCTCCCAAGCTGTGGCAACCGCTAACTTGTTCCCCATGTCCAAACTTTTGTCATTTCAAAAATGTTTATGAATGGAATTATGTGGTATGAGTCTCTTTTTCACCCTGCATAACTCCCTGGAGATTCCCCCAAGTTGTTATGTCTCAGTTGTCATTCTTTTCATTGCCAAGTAGCATTCCACGAAGGTGTAATATATGGGTCCGCCAAAAAAGTATACACACTTCAGCAGTTTGCCACACTAATAAATGTCTTGGAAGCTAATGGCCACCTTTTGAGCACCTCTTGTAATTGCGGAGGTCAAAAGTAACGTATTAATCTCATGATGTCTCAAATTTAGCATTAAAATGCATATTTCCCTTTTCCAGGTGTATACATTTTGGGGCAGATCTGTACTTTTTAGTGAAGTAGTCACACGTATAACAGTTCATATACTGAATATAAAGGTTACGAAGTCACAGTTCCTTACCTGTATCCCTTGTGCCTCCTGGAACAAGCTGGGGAAGGAGGCGAAGCTGTGGATGGCATCAACCTTTGAGCCCTGTGGATGAGCAGCCCTCCTTGGGGTGCCAGGGAGAAGGCCGGGGAGAGCCTCACCTCCAGGCCCTTCGGATGAGTGCACAAGGCAGACCAGGCTGAGGGCAGACTCGTGCCAGCCAGGTCAGGAGTTTGGTAATGCTTGGCCCTCTGCTGGAGACTGGAACAGGTGGCTTCTGGCAGGGGCTAGGTAGTGAGCACCTCCCTCATGCCTAGCCCTGTGTCTGGCCAGGCTGTGTGTGAGCACACGTTGGGCCTCACATGCTGGCTGGTGAGGCAAGTAGAAGCTCCTGGAAAGTTAAGAAGAGGCGTCACAAGGAAGCCATGAGTGAGCCCAGTGAGGACCATGGGTTCAGTGTGCACACAAGAGTCCAGAGGAGAGACAGGTTAGAGTGGTCTGGAGCAATCAGGAAGGCTTCCTGGAGGTGGGTGTGCTAACTGGGTGCTGAAAGGCTGATAAGACTGGTAAGAAGTGACCGACAAAGAGAAGTGCAGGAAGGGTACTGTAGATGAGCAGGGTGGGACTGGTGTGGGAGGCAGAGGACAGACTGGGCGGGGCTGTACGGTGTCAGAGCCATGACTCTATGACTTGAAGTGTTTTTGTTGAGGTGGGTAAGAGGGCTGTCTTTCCTTTGCTTGTCCGCTTAGTCTATTTTGTGTTGCTGTAACAGAATTCCTGAGACCGGGTAGTTTATAAAGAAAAGAAATTACAGTTGTAGAGACTGGAAAATCAGACTGAGTAGCCACATCTGATGAGATCTTCTTGCCCTGTCGTAAGGTAGCAGAAGTCATCACATGGACAGAAAGAGGAGCATACAGAGGCAGGTCCCCCCACCCCACTTTTTTGTTGTTGTTGTTTTTTTTTCCAGTACCAGGAATCGAACTCACGACCTTGCACTTGATATAATCATATCTTGCTGTGCCGCTGAGATAAATCCCCAGCCCTCTTATTTTTTTTCCATCCCACCTTTTTGAGACAGGGTCTCACCATGTTCCTCATGATGGCTGGCCTTAGACTCACAGTGATCCTCCTGCTGGGATTATAGGTGTGTGCCACCATGCCTGGCTCTTCCCTTCTTACAAAGCCCCCAATTCCATTATGGGGATCCCACCCTTATGACCTCATTTAACCCCAGTTACCTCCCAAAGGCTGTAATTCCAAATATGATCAAGGAATGAATCCAGGGCTTAGGATTCCACCACATGAAGTTTTGGAAGATACATTCAAGTCATAGCAACTATACAGTGTAACCTGTAGGCAAGAATATGGACCAAGGAGCAAAGGCTGGTTGTCTTTAATTAGTGTAAACAGACCCTTTTCAGAGTACCCTGCAGGCCTCAGAGAGCTCTTTGGGCTATTTGGCCAATCTGGGTATTCCAATACCTACCAAAGCATGGTAAGTTTGGTTTGGTTTGCTCAGGACTGAGAAGGTCCCTGGGACATGAAACTTTCAGTTTTAAAAATGGGATGAAGGCTAGAGGGATAATTCCGTGGTAGAGCATTTGCCTAGCATGTGCAAGGTTCTGGATGTGGAGGCTAAGGTGGGAGGATCACTTGAGGCCAGGGGTTCAAAATTAGACTGAACAATACAACAAGGCCCCTTAGAGAGACAGAGACAGAGACAGAGACAGAGACAGAGAGAGAGAGGGAAGGAGAGAGAATAGATAATCTTACGAAGAAATCCTTCTGCGAAGAGGTCTTAAATCAAATTTTAGAGAGTGACCCCGATAGTCCATGCCATAGGTAATAGAATTTGAGTATTTTTAGGATATATGTTTGGTGTTTAGTTTTATAGTATTATTCTCCAATAATTTAGAAGAGCAGGATTCATATGTCACTACAAGTGACAGAAAGAGACATTGCTCCACACATAATTTCAGCAGCTTTGTTCCCTAGCTGCCGTCCCCTCAGGAGACGTTAATTGGTACTTCCAGAACAAAGGGCTCTTGTGATCCTTGGGAACACTGGGTCTTTGAAAATCCACCTGCCCTTGAAAATCCATCTGCCCCACCCTTATCTTCAAGAATCACATGGCCATTAGTATGTTAAGGCTCATAAAAGCCCTGAAGGAGAAAAACCTGTCCTGTTTAATGGCTAAAGAAACAAGGTTATCAGTAGAGTATTTCTCTTACGTATTAGGTCTCCAAAACCCACCCCACACAAACACACAAATTTCCTCTCATTTCCAGGGTGGGAACCTGGAAGAAAACAGACCTATCATTCACTCTTTTTGGTGCTGGAGGTCCTATACTAATTTAAGGATTCCACGAGCAGATTTGTAAGGACAATGCAGATAGAAGTAAAATTTCTATTCTTTTCCAATTTCTCTCTCTTTTTTTCTTTAATAATCCACTAGCTTACAGATTCTGGGTCCTATTCAAGGCAACAAAACTCATCAATTCCCTGGATTTCTCACAGCTCACCCTAGGCTTGGACTTTATTTTTCTGTGGCTGACCCGCTAGCAGCAAGGGTCCATTTTCTGGAGTCAGCTCATCCCTGCTAAGAAGGATGGACAAAGTTGAGCCTGGGGTGGGGCAAGGGTGAGGCTGGCACCCTCAACTGCTCCCTCCTCTTACTTTCTTCCCTGCGGCCGCCAGAATCTCCCCCCAAGTGTTGTTTCAATGAGACCTTGGGCTCTGCTAGCCTTTTCTGACCCATAAGGGAGAAAAACCAGGTGACTTTCAGCTCTCCAAATCCAGAGCAGGGACCAGCCCAGGCCTGGGAGGTGTCACCGACAGCCTCCTGTGTGCTCTCCCCAGCAGATATCAAGAACTCTGGGAGAAGGAAGGCAAGAGAAGCTTGCTATACTTCATATCTGCAGCCCCCTGATGGGGACACATCGGGCAAGGATGTAGCCACAGTTGCAAAGCCAGGCAAGAGCAGCAGCAGCAGGGGAGACTTCCTGAAGGAGGCAGGATTTGAGAACAGCTGGCAGAGT